GTAATACATCATTATATATATATATATATATATATATATATATATATATATATATATATATATATATATATATATGTAATTTTATTATTTCGTATTAAATATTATTATTAGCCTATCTAACTCATTATTGCATTCGTCTCTATCGTATACTCTAACAGATAGATGATCTGGTAAGGAAGTGGAGAATAAAAAGAGTTTTCAATCATACACTTTCCTTAACTACCTCAACTTTTAGATAGAATATGATCATGTACTCTCTCCTATGCTAAGGAGGCTTGTCGCTGATCACAACACTGCTCTGCATAAGACAGAAACTGGACATGAGATGACAGTCTTTATGATGATTAAAGTATGGCCGCAGGTAAGCGGGAAATTAAGGGGATCGTCGAAGTCGACGGAGTAGGCGATACATTGAATGCCAGGAATACCGGTAAGAAGTAAAATAGAAAATTGTTGCTTTTGGCTTTACTTTGTTTTTGCAACTTGATATTAGTGACAGAAAGACCATGTGGAACGTACCTGATCCGGCTTCCTTTTTCATGGTAGTCATGATAATTTCTGGCCTGCTGTTTTACCAGACGTCTTTTTGACATCGGGTTTTGGCATCTCCAGTGCGAGAATCTATCTCTGGCATCGAATAATAGCTCTTACAACTGGCGTTCTAGCCCTTAGGGATGTATCACCATCTATCAATTCTTTTTCATATGGCCCCTTTACCTGTCTACACCTTTCTGTATATTCGTTTTTCTTCCAATTTCTCTTAAGAATATGTCCCCTTAGGTGGAATTAATGAAACAAAGTCGGCCATACCACTGGTTTCAGTCGCCTTCCGTAGGGCTTTTCTGTCCAAACTAGCATGTCCACTCAGCCATCCGCTTCATTAAACTTTTATCAGCTGCTTTCTGTTTCACCTAAAAATCGCTGTCTTATCCAAATTGCTGACTATGATTCCTCTCTCCAGGCCATTAGTTCTGCCCTACGCAAAGATGTCATCGCATGACTGAACCTTAAAAAACATGGCAGAACATGTACAATAAGGCCTCAGAGAGGACTGTTGCTAAAATTATGAATCTCATACACGAGTTATGCCCATTTCAAGTCCCCTAGGCTAAAAACTCAAATTTCCCAGTTATCCTCTTCCCTTAATCTACTCAGTTCTCTCATATTCACTGAGACCCTTTCGTACCACTAATACATTCATTAAGTTCTCCCTAGTGCCCCAAACAAGTTGTGCAAAAGGAGTAAAATCAACAAAAATTACATACTCTTAACTGCTAGACTTAGGGATAAAGAGTGTTGAGACGCTTTGATTATAATTTATGTCTTAGCTTCCGTACATAAATATACTTACATGTATATATATATATATATATATACTGTTATAAATGCTTTAAGCTATCACTGCTGGTTTCCTAGTTATACGTACCAATAAAGGCCAATACGTACATATAAGTACACACATATAGGCGTCTCCACAGTAATATTCTACACGAACTAACCAAACTACCCTATACCATATTATGATACATTTTCTCAAACTATATATACAGCATGTGGAAATAGGCAGGTGATATTGCCCATTATATGGCGCACGACATCTTAGCACCTTTTCATCGAGATCGAAATGGACTTCTTTGGAGACAACATCAACTTGTATGTTCCAGTAAGGCAAATTGACAAGTAGACAAAAGGAGTGCACCTTCTTTATCTGGTCAGATCGTTCTTCTATGCTCTTCCTTACACACTTTCACTCTATGTTGAAGTGTGCTCAACACTTGTAAACCAAGACACGTCGAAGCCAAACTTTTCTTCATATAACCTAGTTACACACACTAAATCATAATAGCCGCACGTTTACACACACACAAACTCACCCACCGGACGACTCGGAACATATCTTTCAGCCAAATCTCGCAAGCCTTAATTTTGTATTGTGGTAGTACCTCCTCTCTTACCAAGTTAGCAACGATAAATTGTACGATTTTCGACTCGTCCTGCTTATAATTGTTAGTCAGCGTCATGCTGGCACGACTACAAACTTTTGCTTAAATACTTTGATCTTTATGCGCTTATATATATATATGCTATTATTATTACTATTATTAGTATTAAATATCTAAATATTTATATTGAAATTATTTTTCCCATTTATTTTTTATCCATACTATATATACATTTATTTTATTCAATGCTCAATTAATTTGTTCTCATTAGTGACAGCTCATTCTAGACGCCAATCTCATGCAAGCTGAACTGTGGTTCTGACTTCTTCATATCATCCTTCCGTCACCCCCACCGAGAGTTAAACCATGGATTTTCAGCCTAAATGTAAACCTTGATCCTTTACAATTCCTTGATTAACTCAAGGACTCATCTACGCAAGTTTACAAGTCGACTTCTTTCTCCGTCAATCTTATTGTTAATTTAAAGCAAACTAAGCATCACATTTCACTTCACTTAGTCTCATGGCACTATCTTGTATGAAAAGCACTCGAGCGTGTCGAGATCTAAACCTAAGAATTAAATAAATGATTAAATTCGGGTGAATTTAAGTCGCTGCTTGCCTGCAAGCTTCGGACTTGCAAGCTTATTGCTTCCTCTATGCACCAGTGACCATTAGGGCTTTAGTTCAATAACATTTTGTTAGTTCATCCAGTACTATAAATGAAGTGAAATTATTTCCAATTGTATTCATTTAATTAGTTATAGTAATTTACTTTAAGGTAGGCATTTTATTCTCTTATATATATAACAATATAATACATTATATTTTACATACTTTCTTTTTATTTAATACAATTGATATGCGTCATTTACTTAGATTTTACACATTCTATAGATTATACTCACTATCTATAAGAGCAAATGATGAATTTAGATATTTAAAAGTGAGTAAAAGGAAATCTAACTTTTGGGAATAAGCAAGTTTTTAATAATCAAATGCTGCTAACTTACTCCACTATTATTCCCTTGTAATCCCGCAGCTTTTAATCCTTTTATATTTTTTTTAATTTTATTTTATTTACGTATAATTTATAATACATACATATGCTAAGAGCCATAAATGTCTCTAATAGGCTGCTGGAAGAGGCAAGGCGAAAAATGGAAATTGAAATTTGCTCGAAAAACCCACGAAGAACATTAAAATTAAATAAACATATAGTTTTACAGGCGGAAAAAAGGGGGAAGAAAGGGTGATCGTAAAACATACATACATGCATACAATGGACTCCGGACAAAGTGTGTTCCTCTAAGTCTTCCTACCAATATGACCAAGTTTTGAAAGCAAAGTCAAACAACTTCTAAGAATTAGGGAAATTGGCAAGTTTACAACCATTTCACTCTTACGAAAGGATATAAGACCATTACCAATTTATGTACTCAACCATGGCATTCCAATGAGACAAATAGTCAATAGCAAATATGCATGTAGAGAAATTCAACTACCAATCCTTCATCACCGTAACAAAATAGGTTGAGCACAGTCCTCATAACAAATCTAACAGTGTTGTCTAAATAAATAATGAGGTCGAGTGATATAGCAAATATAAATTTGCTTCGTCGACAATCCTACCACAGAAATGTGATATGGTAAGGGCTCCCTAGTCTTTTTTGAACTTTACTTCTGGCATGTGATCCAAGATCCCTCGTAGCCGTGTGGCGAAGTGGCAATATGTCATAATTACACATTAAACTACCCCAATCCCGATTCGAGTCCCGCTGGGGCTGCTGATGAGACCCATTCGGAAAGGTCGAAAATGCAGTCGGGTCAAGCTTGAATGAGAATACCTTTTGGGAAGCAAGGCCATACTAAATTCAATGAAAATGAGAGGGTAAATTCAACTACCAATCCTACATCAACTCAAACGAAATATATGACATATATATATATATAATATCAGATCTATAGGCAATATCGAAAACCTACTTATAAATTGAAAATAAATATGTGTTTTTTAATTTTATTATACTATATAATATATATATACATATTAT